CAATGAGCACGTTGCGTGCCGTAGCGGCCGAGACGATTAAGAAGCCCGCCCCTTCGAATGGCGGGCCTTCGAAGGGCGATTTTAGGGCTGGGCGCCGGCGCGTGTTCAGAAGGGCCATTTGGGCGGGCATCGCACGGCCCAGATTGCGGGCCGGTCACCACCTGCAGACGGCCCAGATCGCAGGCCGATGAGAAAAGTTTCTCATCGGCCTGCGATCTGGGCCGTCCGCGGGTGGTGACCGGGCCCGAGGGGCCGCAACCTGGGCCGGTATATATGACGTTAGCGATTCTTACAGTATTGTAGAAGATTTGTGGAGTGACATTTGGCGTCATCAGGCGGAAGTGAAGTGATCCCTAACTTATGGAGCGACATCTGGCGTCATCAGGCAAAAGTGAAGTGCTCCCTTTTTTTTTCTTTTTTTTTTTCTTTTTTTTCTTTTTTTTCTTTTTTTTTTATAACAAATGCTCCAATCAATTCGTGGGGAGCAACACGTGTTGGGAACCGGGCCCAGCGTCCCATATCAAATTGTACAGATCATTGAGATCATTTGAGAACATTGAGATCATTTGAAATACCGGGGCCATTACCCGGCTTCGACTGAGATCAGTCTGTGAATATCTAATGACCTAATAAGGAACCACACATGCAATAGGCTGCCACAAAGGTCCTACGAAAGCTCACAACCCTCAGGATCCCTAACAAGCCCTTCTAAGACTTTCCAACATAGTCTTACTCCCTACTGAGCTCTTCCAGGCCTCACGCCCCCACCCTGCTGGGTTACAGGGCAACACAACTCGCCCCAGCTCCGACCAGCACCCCAGCACCGGCCAGCGTCGTTCTGGCATCGAACAGCCGCAGATCACTGAGTATAACCGCTTCAGACCGCCTAGGATGGGTTGCTAAGAGTCCCTAGAGTCCTAAGACATTCATAAGAACCACCGACAAATCAGATAGGTGAAACCTATTCAATCCACCTACGACCATCACCAACATGGTTGTTTTCAGCAAAAAAACGAAGCTCTTCCAGGCCTCATGCTCCCATCAGGTTGGGTTACAGAGTTGCACCACCTTGCTCCAGCACCGGCCACCGGCGGCCAGCATTGCTCCAGTTACGACCCCCGATGACCACTGAGACTGCCTCCGCACACAGCCCCCCAGAGCTCTCTACCAGGCCTCACGCCCCCACTAAGCTAGGTCACAGAGTTGTGCCACCTGGCTCCGGCTCCGGCCAGCGTTGCTCCAGCATCGGTCTTCGAGGGCCGCCAAATTTTCAACCACCCTTCGCAAGATCACAGATGAATTGCCAGATAGCACCTATTCCTACAACCTTCTCAAGCGACAAACCAAATAAAAAGAAATAGTAAAAAGCCTCCCAACCACGAATCAGATAGATGAAACCTAATCAATCCACCTGCAACCACCACCAGCATGGATGTTTTCAGTACTAATTGAAGCTCTTCCAGGCCTCATACTCCCATCAGGTTAGGTTACAAAGTTGCACCACCTTGCTCCAGCACCGGCCAGCATTGCTCCAGTTACGAGCCCCGATGACCACTAAGTTGGGTCACAGAGTTGCGCCACCTGGCTCCGGCTCCGGCCAGCGTTGCTCCAGCATCGGTCTTCGAGGGCCACCGAATTTTCAACCACTCTTCGCAGGATCACAGATGACTTGCCAGATAGCACCTATTCCTGCATCCTCCTCGAGAGGCCAACGAAATTGAAAGAAGTAGTAAACTGGATGATAGACTTATTAGAGAAGGATCAAGAATCGAAAATTCCTGAAAATATGATGGCGAAAAGATAGATGAGATTATTTTTTTGTGTGTGTTTTTGCTGATGACAACGAACAACACCCTAAAGATGATGATGATGAAAATAATGGTGAGGACCAACTCACCTACTGATGTGAACGGTAAACAATGCCTTGAAGGGCAAACATCTAATGATGACAAACTGATGAAGATGATGGTGATGATGGTAGTGATGAGAATGAAGACAGAATGATGATGCTGATCATACTGAAGAGCAGTACCAACAGCCCCGCCCCTATGATTAAAAACTGATGATGATGGTGATGATGATGATGATGATGATGATGATGATGATGTCGGTGATGATAATGATGATGATGATGATGATGATGATGATGATAATGATAATGCACAGCGTCCTGTGAGGACAATCAAGATGATGCTGATGCTGATGACATGTCCGGGCATATCAGTCTGATCCGGACTTCGGCACGCTCTATGCACAACTATCTTCGGATCACCCGCCGGCCAGCCATGCGCATTGCCGACGGGTATTTGCTCCTCCACTCGAGAGGCAAGGACTTACTATGTGTCCCACGCGACCGTCGTCTTCGGACTCGCCTCCTCGGTGAGTATCATGATTCACGACTCGCCGGTCATTTCGGAGTCAACCGCACTACCTCGTCGAATGCGAAGGCATGATGTGTCATAGCGCAAAGATCTGGTCTTCGCGAGAGTGCATCTGCTGCGCGATTTGAGAGGCTGGGTAGATGTTTCGGTGTGAAGTCAAACTGGTCGATGAAGTACACCGTATCCTGCGTTTTGTAGTAGGTCAATGGATTGTTGTCCGTAACCCATGTGCACCTACGGCGCCCAAGGAGGAAGTGCCGCCATCGCTTGAGAGCCATGACGAACGCGAGTAGCTCCTTCTTCCTTGCATCATCAAGCGAGTTGATGGGAGGCACTTTGTGGCTGAAATACTCCACAGGGTGCCATTCGTCGCCGTCGTGTTGTTCCAAGACTGCCCCAATGCCATAGCCGGAAGCGTCCGTAGTCACTCTCGTCGGCAAGGTGGGGTCATAGATGCTGA